TAAGTTTTTTTTTCCTGCATAGTTTATAATTTATTTTTACAGATTTATGTAGGTAAAGGGAATGGATTCTAATCTCAACCATTCGATCAATTTTATTAAAATAATATAAATTTTTATTAAGGGTGAGATTATCTTCATCTTAAGTGCTTTCTCTAAGAGAACCCTTGCCCAACTCAGACTTTAAAAGGTGGCTATGGTGGTGCCATGGCGGTCAGGGGTGAGGAAAATCTCGGACCACCATAGAATGGCAGTAGCATGGTGGGCTTGACATGGTGGCAGCCATTTGCAATGCGTCTCATAATAAATTAGTATTTTGATCCATGCAATACACGGGACAAGTATTTATTTTATATAATTAAAAATATTAATTATATAAAGAGAAAATAAAAAAAACATGAAATAGATATATTATGTACATAATAAAATATAAAATATGTAAATCGTTAGTAATACGTTAAGTTTGGTTCTTGAAATTTTTAATAGGTTTAAGCAAGCCCTTGTTTGATTAAGTAAACCCTTTGACTCGGTTGATTTTCATCTTTAACCATGAAAGTGTCATGTATGTTTTATTTTATTTTTTTAAGAAAATCATTTTATTTAAAAAGTACTATTAAAATTTTGGTATATTTTATTTTGTTAATATTTTTTAATGAAATTATTGAGGGACTAAAATAAGCATTGTCTTATCTATAGGGATTAAAAACATTTATCCTTATAATTTTATATTTTATTTTTTAAAACTTCTATACAAATATTAATTAGAATACTATGATGAGATTATTTTTACAATGACATTTATAAAACGCGTACTCCTAGGATATGATATTTTTTTTATGTCGTGTTAATTTCAAAATTTGGATTATAATCATGTTATGTCATGTCTTTTGATATGAGCAAGAAGAAACGCAAGGCTGTGTTAACGTTACAAGAAAAGCTATAACAGAGTTCTAAATTTCAGGTATGTTATTTTATGTTATGTTATGGATGCTTAAGCTTAACCCCTTGCTTCTTCCCAAGTAACAATAAGCAACGCTTGGTGTGTTATTTGGTAGGAGCATTTGAAAAGCCTAATAAGATGTTTAAGAATAAAATATTGGTTCACGTATATACGTGATTATTTAACTAATTTTGAATTCGAGTTTTGAATATATATAGAGAGAGAGAATAAGGATTAAAAAAAATTGGACTAAAGGAATAATCCTTAGTATTTTATTTCATTGTTATTTGGTTCAGCTTAACCTATGAGTTATACAAAAAGAATAAGAATTGGACGGTTTTCATCATTTGAGAACCTTAACAAGATGGAAGAATTCCTTTAAGTTTGGGTGGTGAATTTGAAAATTTTAGAGAACTTGAAATTTTAATTATATCACTCATTAAATTTTTGTTTGGATAAATGATTTTTTATAGGATAATTTAATTTTCACCATACATAAAATTGGTTTATATATATATATATATATATATATATATATATATATACTCAC